CCCCAAAACCCCAAAACCCCAAAACCCCAAAACCCCAAAACCCCAAAACCCCTTCTGTTTGCGCATAAATTGGAAGAAGAATTTAAAGAAAAATATATATACTAACATGCATTCTACTAATCCAGCCCTAAAAGGAAAAAGTTTATTCTATCTTTTGAAAACTGCTGCTATATACAGAGCATGCCAGTCAGAATTTTTCCTGCGTCATGGAGAATCCATGACGAACAAATCTTACAAGATTCTTGGCAAAACAATCACAAATGCATTTGTTGAACGCACTGGAGGGTTGATTTTCACTTCTGGGCCAACTATCGAAACTCTTATGAAGGATATGGACCGACTCTATAAAGAAGATGGTATTGGTTCAGTAGCTAACTTTGTAATGGAAGGAATCGAGGACGATGACATTGCCAAATTTGATGGAGCCAGAGACTATCTTATTGAAACAATGAGAGTCTCAAAGAATGATGATCCATCTGTGAGAAAATACTTCCAAATGGCTATTAAACTAACAGGCTTGGGACACATGGACATGTTCGAACATTTCAATAAAAGTCAAACTTTGTTGCTAGATGGCTTGTTTAAGAAATACTCGATTACTGAGCATCAAGATGTACAGGAACTCCTCTTTGATGCTGAAAACCCTTCTCCACGTCCAATTCTTACCAGGAATGGCATAAAATCATTCCTAGCGGAGCATAACATTGACTACACCGAGCAAGAGCTAGATGAATTCATTGAATTAGCTAAATTCGAAGATAGCGAATTCGGAAAGGATGAAATTGGCGAAATCGAGTTTTACCATAACATCCATTCTCATTATGTATTCTCAGAAGACCACAACACTTCACTTCTAAGAAAAATCTGCAACTCTGCTTATGGCGGCTCAGAAGATAAAGAGAAAAGAGAGGCTATAAAGAGATGCGTCGACCGGACAGTCAAAATACTCGAAGTTGCTGACAGGCTTAATGTCATTGTGAATGTTGACGCTGAGCAGACGTACATACAGAAGACTCTAGATTCACTAACGAGACAAATGCAAACCAAATTCCATCGTGATAGGGAAGCTTTCATCATGAATGGATACCAGTCATATCTCAAAGCCACACCTGAACACATTAAGCTCGAGATTGAAAGATGTAGGAGAGCCGATATTGCATTTGGATTGAAAATTGTTAGAGGTGCCTATATGAATGAAGAAAGAAGACTTGCTAGTAAAAGAAATTACGAGAGTCCTATATGGGAAACAATTGAGGACACTCATGAATCATATAACCTGTATGCTTCTAACCCCTCTAATATAATGTAGAAACATCAAGAATTGCATGAACAACCTTGATCCAATAAAAGGTAGATCACTTTGTTCCCAAGGGAAAAATGATGCCATTTTAATAAGATTTGTTAATTTTATTTATTTTTCTTTGGCAAACTACAAATTCAGATTTTAATTTCTTCAGCCAAATTAGAATTGGATGCTCTCTACATATGTTTTGGTCCTCTTATGCTAAGATTTGTTGTTAAAACCACTTTAGGCATTATTTTTTTTCACACACGTATCTAAGCTTAGTCTTTACAACTTTAAAACTAGGATGAATTTCTCAAATATCCATCTTCCCAAATCATCCAATACCTTGCTCTTTCTCACTCTTTTTATAGACAAAATCCTAGTGGCTAGTCACAATGTAGACTCTTGCAACATTGCCAAGGCTCTAATGAAGCAGAACAATCTAGATTCCAGCTCCGTTTGTTTTGGACAATTGAAAGGCTTTAGCGATTCGTTAACTTACTCCCTCAAAGACCAAGGATACAATGTAATCAAGTATCTCCCCTATGGTCCCACTAATTATCTAATCCCTTATCTTTTGAGAAGAGGACATGAGAGTAAGGAAGTTATGAGAGAGCATCTCTTCTTGGATGATATCTCTGATGAAATCAGAGCCCGTCTCCATCTACGAAAGAAACCAAGGCCAGCATAATAGGAAAACCCCATCAATAATATCAATTCTAGAAATTTTGGAAGGGGTTTTGGGGTTTTGGGGTTTTGGGGTTTTGGGG